GACAGAGTTAGTGCAGAGGTTGGTGGCTGAGTTGCATATTTCTCGGACCAAGTACGAGCCTCTCCTCCAAAGAAAGGTTGGATCAAGATGGTGCCCTTGAGACTCAAAGGTCTTAAACTGGAGGGGTCGCAGGGGACTAATTGTGTGGTGACATTGTAGGCTATATTAGCCCCTGCACTGTCACCAACTATGAACAAGCTTGACAAGCTGCACCTACTTAACCACCATCTTTGCTCACTAGGCTCACTCAGAGCTTGTTGTTTCACCCACTTAAGAGTTTTGAATCCGTCGTCATAAGCAGCAGGGAGACGGTTTTCGGGGGCTAAACGGTAATTCACAGAGATGATGACACAACTTGCTTTGCAAGCAAGGTTGGCCAAGAAGTCATGGTAACAGCTCCAAGAAGCAGAGCCAACACAGAAACCACCACCGTGAAAGTAGACAAGCACGGGGAGGTTTCCAGGGTGGCTTGGAACGTAAATACGTGCCCATAAGTTGGTAAATTTTTCAATGACAACGTCTTTGGCTGTGACACCATGTGGTAGTGCCAGAGTGCTTGGGACACTGGGGATAATTGGAGGCCTTTCGATGTTTCCATCTTTGTGAACTCTGAGGAGACCTTCAATTTCTTCAAGAACAACTCCATGTTGGTTTGGAGGGTTCTTAATGGCTTGGAGGTTAAGCCTTGGATCAAGAGAAATGGTTGACATTCTTCTAAATTTCATGCAATGTATGGAATAGTAGAATATAGTTCTGTGGGCTTGTGGCCTCTGTGGTGTGGATGTGATTGTGATTTGCCTTGCAAGCTCTTTATATAGAAAATGAGAACATTATGGCCAAAGAGAGAGGCTCTATTTCATTGTGGAAGAAAGCTTTCCTTTCTTTTTATCTGACAAGTGGCATCTGAACTCAGCATAAGCTGTCATGCAGCAACTTGTCTAAAACATCTCCTGGTCACCCCTCACAATCAATAATCAAGGTCAAGCAATGAGAAGATAACGAAATTGAAGTCAACATATAAAACTTATCACCAGGGCTGCTCATCCCCTCCTAGTTTGTTCTTTCCAAATATTCTGTTGGCATTTTCTTTTTGTTGATTTGATTGAAGCATTATCGTTTTCCTCGGTAAATTTTCTTTTCTTGAAACATTATCTATAAATCGAAGCAATATTCATCTCACAGACATGATCATCAGAAACAACAAATTTAAGTCTAATGCAGCAAGTTATGTGTAAGGTTATGCAAAGCATTATGACTAACCCTCTTCTGAAAATCTCTGGTGGTTTGCTAGTGGAGAGTTGCCTGCCGACAGTGCTTTTTGATTCTGGATTAATGAATATTCTTAAAACTCTAAGGACTTGCAAATGGACAATCAACTTTATTCTTCAGATATTTTATTATCTTCTCAGTTGCTTTTTGACTCTTTATATTCAAATTCTCTACTGGGATTAGCAGAAAAAACAAAAACATCTGAGACTGAATAATTAACAATCCTAAGACTGATGAGATTTCATGCAATTAATCACTGAGGACGGAGCTGATGAAGTTCTTGTTTCTCCCCTAATAAGGATTATGGTTTAGATATGAAATTTTGGACTATGTGTTGTTTTCTGCAGCCACAGAACTATAACACGTACCTTTGTACCTGTCCTGCACAAGTTGTCCCAAAAAAGGAAAAAAAAAAGGAGCAAAGAGAACAAAAATGGAAGTAGATTCTTGAAATTAGATTTTGTTCTTTGTGTTGTACTTGCCTTTGGAATATTTGCCTTCCGTCCATCTTTTGGCACGTCATTATTCTTCAACAAAGGTTTCATTAGTATTATTAGACTTTCACATAAAGCTCATCTCATGCATGATGCTATCCAATGATGATATCTGCAGATTATTTAGGACTGTTTCACTGCAGAAAACATAAAACAAAACTAGATCATGAAACGTGTCTTAAATTCGACATTAAGTCGGTT